ATTCGAAGTAGTGTTATAAATTATGTAAAAGAATTTATAGTAAAAAGGAACAATTTATTTCTCTACGATTATTAATATTTATATACGTTATATATTAATATTTATATAGTTTTTATTAATTTCGCAATTTCACATAAAATTTCGTAGTATTTCCAAGAATGCATTCAGGTAGAAATGTTGTAAAGTCAATGCATGTATCAAGGCCGATATTATCAAATTACTATCTATTATTAAATACCTATACCTATTATTAAATATAAAAAAAGAAGGTTTATTATTTATGAACTCTAAGTTATAGGGTAAAGATTTAACTGACCTTGATAATAACCTTAATTAATCTATAGATAATCAAATCAAATTGAATCATTTAAAGATGTAACAAATTATATATTATCTCAAGAGTAAATGTCTCATTCCTTTACTAACATCTACTACTTATATAATTTGAAGAAACTATATTTTTCTGACAATTTTTTACCGTCGCAATTTGATCACGCATGCGATATGCTTTATATAATACGATGATTCGATAAAATTGAAATTGCCATCATTTAAAAAACATATATGCAGAAAAAATATTTCATTTTATATTTTATTATTATGTACGAACATAATTTTTATTTAAAAAATTAATAAAAGAAATAAAAATATATTAAAATTATAAAAACTGATATTTTCTCTTTCGTAGTTTTTTAGAAGACTTTTTTCATTATTAAATAAAAATTGAAAAAGGCTTCAACAATTAATAAATAAATAAAAGAGTATAATGCCAATGAGAACCAATAACACAATTGTACGTGTAAAATATAATATATATGTCAATCACCAATTACGGATGTTTCATAAGATTCGGTCCTCTTCAATTTGTCAAAAACATTTTCGGAGTCAATTTAATTCGTTGTAATGATATAGGCATATACAATAATGAATCATCGTTAAGCTATTTTATCCAAAATTAAGATCTTCATAATCATTTGTTGTATTTAGCTGGATATCCAAACATTAATTTAGTCATTTAACTTAAAATCAAGTTAATAAATGAAATTTTTGAAATACTATTCATAGTTGCAGTATTAAAATTAATTATATCAGTTAGATAACTTTACTCAACATAACGATCCGTTATATAAACACGATGTGTGATTACAACTATGTCTTGAGAGCATGTGAGAGGACGTTTCGTATTTACATTGTTTATAAGTCTAAATATTAAATATAATAAACTAACATACAAATCGACTATACAAAATTATAACTTGCAAGGAAACCGAAACAATTACCAACATAAAAATCGATGATACAAAATGATACAAATTTTTATTATTATAATATTTTGGAAAGTTCTCGAGGTGTGCTACGAAAATGTGTAATGAAAAATAAAGGATTTCATTTAAAAAATTCAAAGTAATATTGCTCTGACCTTGGTGATGCCACCCAAGACTGATTAGCTCATTTAAATAGATCATTTACCCCCACAACTTTTGTCTGAAACTTTTTTTCTAAAATACTCTGTTTCCGAGATAAAAGGGGTGTATGGTCTAAGATGCCCAGTATGTAGTATTTTTCCAATGTGACAACAGACATCTCTAGCTGCGTATTCTTAATTGCGTAATTATTAATTATTAATTGTTGTTTTTATTGTCTTATATCTGCAAAATATCAATACTGGAGCTCATATTTATCGAATAAAATTAAACGAATTAATTTAAAAAACTGTCTATTCCGATATGTTAAAATATAAGTACTCTTAATTTAATAAATTAATTAGTTAGTATTTTTTGCCCATGTTTTTCAAACAATTTATTACTATGAAAAAATACGGAAGACCGAGACTCTCAAAAATATTTTTAGATATATTATTTTTTTATATAATTAAAAAATTATTTATATTTTAAACTTTATTAAAGAATTGTGTAAATTTTACAAATTATTGAATGTATTAAATATTACTGAAATTTAAAATTGATGTAAATTATTCTTTTAATGAAAGCAATGTAACTTCAATAGAAAATTTATATTCAATTTATATAATTTATTCTTGAAGAATAACATGAATATTAATAAATAATGAATATTAATTTGAATATAATAAATACTAATAAACTACCATACTAATAAAAATTTATTAATACTTTACTTACAAATACTGATATTCCATCTAATGTGTCACTCTTGCAGGAAACTTTGGGTCTTGGGAGGAAACTTTGGTCTTCCTCTTAACGTGAATAAAAGAAAAATAGTTCATGAATTTGTGAAACATAGTGAGAATTATAGTAGAAATTTTACTAATGAGAATATGAAGGATAAGAATTTAGAAATATTGTTATCCCTCAACTTCATTTTTTCTTATTTAATAAAAAAAGTACAAAAAAAGAATTAATTAGTATGCATAATGGAACTATTAAATTTCTTAAATCAAATCCTGATATATTATTTATTAAGGCTAACAAAGGCAATATTACAATTGCTTTAAACAAAGATGAATATATAAATAAAATAGAAGAAATTCTATAAGACACTATATAACACTACTTATATTATGGTTAATAAAAATCCTATTAAAACAATTGAGCGAAAATCGAATAGTTATAAAAAAATAGCTCCTAAGAAACTTTATATCCAAAAAGACGTATTCTTTTTATATTCTAGTGATTCGCTTCTTCCAAAAATATAGTTTACCTAAAATACACAAATCAGAATTGTCATATAGGACATAGTTAATTATATTATTAATTAACACGGTTTTGTATCCTCTTGTTAAATTTTTACAGCATATCATTGCAAATAATGTAATTTTTAATAATGGACATGTTAAGAATAGTTTTAAGGTATATAAATCTCTGTCGAGTAAGAAAATAAATAGTACTGATGTTGGTTTCTTTGTAGTATCGATGTTCACGAACATTCTCCTGAAATATAGAAAAAAGGTGGAGACAAATCGAATGTAATACTAAAATTCTATATGAGAATTTCATCTCCATTATTGAATTCATATTAACATTTACTTATTTTACATTTAATAACAAGATATACAAACAGATTTTTACTTACTTAAGATACTTACTTACTCTTTATCTATGTATCTAAGATTCTTATCTATGTATCTAAGATCTAAGTTTCTCTAAGATTCCCATTGTCACCTATAATAACTGATATGATATTGCAAGACTTAGAGGAAAAAGCATTAAATAGTCTTAATTTAGAATTATCTTATCTATTTATTATTGATGCGTGGATGATATTGTTTTAGATGTATATTAAGATCAGATTCACACAAAATATTGTTGATGTGTTCAATGGTTTTTATAAGAGATTGTAATTTATTTTTGAAATGGAATGTAATCATTACATTAAGCTTTTTAGATATCTTGTTAATTGTAAAGGATGACATAATAATTATTAATTGGTATTAATTTGGTTTCAAAAGAAAACCTTTTCAGGCAGATTTCGTTTCTTCCTAACCATCCATTATGGGTCAAGAGTGAAATGATTTACAATCTTGTGGGAAGCGATTTTATTATCTTATTCTATATTTTATAGAGATTTTATAGAAATTTAGAATTATGTACAAAGTTCTTAAAAATGGATATCTATTGGAAATTATCTTCAGAGAAATTAATATTAGATTAAAAATTAATATTAGATTAAAAATATTAGATTAATATTAGATTAAAAGAGCTCTTTAGTAAGAAAAGTGTAATTCAGAAATTGAACAATGTCAATGATACAGAGGATAACACAGATACGATTGAACAAAGGAAAAGATTTGTTATAATTCCATTTATAGATAAATTATCTAACATTGTTAATTAAACATCATGTTTAAACAAAAGTTGGTCATGGTAGGATACAAAAGTATGAATCGTCTTAATAACATTATTAAAGTCTAAAAAGATAATACTGACAAAAAACAGAAATGTAATGTAGTATATAAAATTAATTGCAAGGACTATAATGTAGTCTATGTTGACCAAATTAAAAGACAATTAAAAACGAGAATCAAAGAACATATTATTAAGGCTCGTTTTCACAATA